CTAGATGATTTTTTATGGTCTCTTCCAACCCAGGCCACTCTATGATTCTATGATGATTTTATGTCCAATAGAGCCAATTGCAGCCAGCTCTAAGATGGACCCCTCACTGGCTGAGGCCAAGTCAATCAGTGATGGCAGTAACACTTCTGGGATAACACAGTTAAGAAGAAAAAAGGTTATTATACAGAAGTAATTGTGTCCAGAGGAAAGAGGAGAGAGAATATGTGAGAGCAATGGCTCTACAGACACCAAGGTCAATGAAGAAGAAGGAGAAGGAGGTGGTCCAGGCACCAGAGCAGAGATTCCCCTGCAGTCTGTGGTGAAGACCACGGTGAGGCAGCTGTGCCCCTGCAGCCCACGGAGATCCACAGGGGAACAGAGACCTGCAGCCTGTGGAACAGCCCCACACCGGAGCAGGTGGATGCCTGAAAGAAGCTGTGACCCCACAGCAAAGCCTGTGCTGGAGTAGGCTCCTGGCAGGGACCTGCAGACACATGGAGAAAGGTCGCCAAACTAGGGCAGGTTTACTGGTAAGACCTACGATCCTGTGATGGAGGAGGTAGAAAATCAGCCATAAAATTAAACCTAGGAAGGAGAGAGAAGTGGGGGGAAGGTATTTTTAAGATATGCTTTACTTCTCTTTATCCTATTCTGATTTTGATTAGTAATAAATTCAACTAATTTCACTAAGTCAAGTCTGTTTTCCCATGACGGTCACTGGTGAGTGATCTCTCCCCATCCTTATCTCAACCCATAAGCCTTTCTTTTTTCCTCTCCCCTATCCAGTTGTAGAGGGGAGTGAAAGAGTGGCTTTGGTGGGTATTGAAGAATACATCTGGTGCAGGTAGTTCGGTTTGCAAGGTGCAGTTCGGGATGCAGACTGAGATCTGGGTGGGAACTCAGAGAGAAAAGAGGCTGTGAACTGCCAGCCCTTTGGTCGACAAAAGGCACAAACTGGTGGTGCCAGTCAGGGTGGACACTGAGAGACACAGCAGGAATGGAAGACTCATGAGGAAGAGCCAGACTTGCGCATGGGTAGACTGTGAGGGTGTAAAAGCCCAGGGGTTCCTTTGCTGGGGGTCCTCCTCAGAGGCAACAGCTTGGGCTGTTTCTGTGTTACTGCACTTTATGGAGCTAGACATCTGAGACTCTACAATGGGAAGCCTGGGGTCAAATCAGTAAGGAAGCCTGGTCTGACTGCATGTGAGTGGGGTGTGTGGGGAGTCAAGCAAAACACCCATCAGCTCACTGGAGCTGCCTGCTGAGAAGGGGCTTCGAACACAGCAGTTAAAGTCTCTGGCCTTGGGAGTTTGACTGCCAGAGAGTCTCGTGAATGGTCAGACTGGAAAGTTTCCTTAACAGTGGGCACCTGATGTCCAGCCAGAGTCAGCCCATCACAGTCTTTCAACTCTCTTTGCACTGAAAGACCATGTGTTAAAGAAATCTGCCACATCTTCCATTCAAGCTGGGAAAAAAAATAAAGGAAGAGATGACTACATCTATGACCAAAAACAATCCCACTGGTATGCACATTGTTTTCTTAGAAGTTACAATCAAAAACCCTGACCTGGAACTTTGCATGGGGCTAATTCATTGTAATCTGCCATATGTGTTTGTGTGTTTCTGTGTGTGTGTGTGTGTATGTGCGCCTAAACTCTATTGTTATTTCCGTTAAATAACATTCTGGTTTGCATGGGCAATAATAGACAGCTTTCAGCTTCATCTAAACCACTGTAAACTTTAATCATATGGATATGAATACCAAAGGTCTAAACTGAAAGCAATCACTCAATTCTAATGAATATGAAAACCAGAATAGTGCTTGATGGAAGGATCAATTTCTTTCCTTCCTTTTCCTGGAAGTAAGGGTGAAAGAGTGGAACACAAAATTCTTTCTAGTGAATTGCATATTTCCATAATCAGAACCACACTGTGATTCTGTTTGTTTTCATTAATCTCCCAAATACTTTCTTTTGCACTGCAGTTATTCCACACCCTCACGTGCATTTCTACAAGTTCTGGTGATATGTAACTAGTGCAGCACACTTTCTTCCTTTCCCACTATCTGCTTTCATTGGAGATGATCAACTAAGACATTCTCAGGCTAGAATACTTGCCACTTATTATATGAGTTCTTCAGGAATTTCCGAGTATTCAATATTAATCCATATTATAAACTAAATTTTTTTCTTTTTAATTTAATAGTGACAAAGATAACAATGACTGCAAAATTTTTTGTGGGAAAATAGACAGTCCTATGATGTTTTGTCATCATGTGGATCTTCCAAGGAAAGATAAAACCTTTGTTATTATTTCTTTTTACAACCTCCAATACTTTTTTTTTTTTTCAGACTCCAACTTCACAGAAATCCTGCCCTGAAAGAAAAAAAAAATGCATGGGTTCCTCATCCACCAGTGCTGCCATACGCTCACCTCCAGCGGGTCTCTGTGCTCTGGCTCACTGCTGCAGCAGGAGGAGATGGCAAGGGGAGATGGCAGCTCAGTGCAGCCAGGGCACCTCCCAGCATTGCTGCTGATGCCAGCCTCTATCTAACTGCAACTGGAAAATGGGATGTAATATTTATATGTATGTCCCACCCTCTGTGCTGTAGTCAATATCAAATAAAACCAGATATCCTTCGAATACCTTTTCCTGCTACTTGACACCTAAATATTAGATAGAAATACTTTTTGACCTTACTCTTTTGGGTTTTGCTAATGAAAAGCCAGATCAGTAACTAAAAATCCCAGAATATGTCTCCCAGACAGGAGCTCACAGAAAGTGCAGCAGGAGAATAGGTCCCCCAAGACAGGTGACCTGCTTCCAGCTGCTTTTCGGCAGAAGGATTTCAAGTTATCTGTCAAGCCACAAGCTATGCTGAGGTAGACTATTTTATCTGCTGTTGAACTCACTATACTTTGCATGAAATAAATCTGTTTTCACTAAGCTGCAGAGAAGTGTAATTCCTTAGTCCCACAGCAGATAATAGTTTCATTTATCATTGTTTAGTGGCAAGAAGTACTCTTACAGTGAGCTACTGCTTAGTAAGAGGGTGAAAATGGGCCTGTGTTCCAGACAAAGTTTGAACTGCAGCCTTGTACCTGTCTTCAGCATCTTCTCTTGTACACAACTGCCTAGGATCAGCATACTAACTCCCACGGGTCTGCGAATACAAGCTCTGCTCTGCTGCTGCTGAGTCTGAATTTGAGAGGACAAAAAGCTCAACCAAATATTAGTTAGTGGACTGATAAGCTGAGCTTCAGGTCATCCTGGTTTTAAATGTCTGCAAAAAGACCCTGGTGACTGACAGCAAATACAGTAAATAGAGAGCAGCCAGCACTGTGAACGAGTCCTCTCATCAGGTGCAGGTGCCTACTTCGGCTGATTTAAATACCTCTCACCCCTACTGACTACACCACATCTTTAGTGACTCTAGTGAGAGCTTAGCAACAGAGTTTATGTGTAGATACCCATGTTACTACTACCTGCAATGAAGTGAGTTTAATCCCCTCCCAAAATTGCTTTTTCATTTCAGACTCAGAGATGTCAGTAATCTTTTCAAAATCATATATTTTTTGTGGTTTAGGAAGGAATTTGAATTTTGAGTTATAGTAGGAAAATGGATATGTATTTCCTAAGCGATTTTCTGAAATATACGCCAAGATGATTTTGTTGATTCTTTGATTTTTTGCTATTGTGTATGTGTGTAAGTGGGTACACATGTATATACATGAAAACACACACACCTATATATTGTATACTTGTGGTAAATAACATATAAATAAGTCTCTTACTTCAGCTTTTACTATACTATCTTAAACTGGAAAATAATACTAATTTGTTTACTGCCTATGCATATTGGAAGGCTATTAATATTTACAAAATGCATTAAAGTGCTGCAGCACCATTGCCTTATTGATGACTCAAAATTGTAACTGAGCTCACATTTTATTATATTGTCTTTTGCATATGGATGGATATTATTCAACTGTGTGTAAAAGGCTTAAGCTTCAAAAAGAAATACAGTAAATACTGTAAATACCTTGCTACCAGAATCACCCTAAATCCAAATACAGAGTATAAGATGAAGTGAGTTGCCACAATCGTTATACTAGCATTTGAGATGGTATATAGCCTCTATGGGGTTTTATAACTGGCTCTGTTTTTAAGTAGCTTACCTTGGGCAACTCATTTAGTATCAAGATTTCCAGTGCAGCCCTAATTTAGAGGTGAAGGCTGTCTAACTTCCGATTTTTGGACCAGGGATGTCAAATGATCTAAGTGTTGAAATGCCTTTTTACTTATTTAGTAGGAATAAGTTGCCTGAATATCTTCAAGGTTCTCAGATGATACTCCAGGCACCAGAAATCTGAAGATAACATTGATATAAGCTGCAATTTTGTTTAGATGACTCCCAACCAGTCCTGAAAAAAGTTTTTGTGACATCTGAGATATATATTAGCAATACCTTTTAAAACTGAAATACAGAGGAGACAAAAAAGATCAGTTCTTCACAGTTGAAAAATTGATTCTTAAATTTCTTCACTAGTGAAAGATCTTTCCTTAGATATGCACGTTCTGAGAGCTGTTGCAGTTTTGAACTATATGCTTCAGATTCTCCATTTATCTGACATAAGAATGCAGGTGTACGAAGGTGAATATACTAGAAACTGCACCTGCCTTTCTCTGTCTTCTGAATATTGCATGACATGCAGCCTCTTTACTCTGAGTACTGCATGCCATGGAGTAACAGAAATCCTCCACCAAATTATTAAGTGTAAAAAGTAACCAAAGCAATTTTTTTCTAGCAATTTTGTTTTGTAAGCCTGGTGATGGGCAAGGTGTAGCGTAAATGTGCATTTCTAAAACTGGGCTCAAATCCTAGCACCTCTGACAAATCTTTCTAATGAGGAACACCTTTGGGCTCTCGTAGTTATAGCTAAGTCCCTCAAATTTAGACTTATGAAAACAAGTGAAATTATTTTTTTTTATACTGTACCTGTACAGATGAAACTTGATAGTCCTCCGTAGATGACATCATCGTTGTCTGGTAATATAAAGGGACACCTCGTTTGAACCTCCAAACAGTATTGCTTGCAAGGAATTCTGTTGTTGCAGTGAAACTGTGTGACTTCAAAATACTGGGAACACAGCCAGGCTTTGTAGACAATCTGGAAAAAAGAGAAGAATGAGAAGTATAGATGGATAACAATAGCACTGTCATTATTAGAAGAACATACTGTACTGCACACCTACATTAATGCTGCTTCTGAAAGAAAATTTTGAGAGAAAATCACCTGGCTAACATAAACTATTAACTTTTGACTGTTCTCTCATTTCAGAAATAAAAACTCCAGCCAAGTCATTTAAAAGCAACAGTTAGTCAGGACTAGGCTTATGCTATTATATTATCTTAGTTCATAAACAGGTATCTCTTAGATGTGACTTTTTATTGAACATGTGCATACATGGAACACAGCCCTGTCCCTGCACCTTATCATAAACAAACTGAGATAATAACATTTGAAGCCAGTCAAAGACAAATCTATGAAAGTGCATGCAAGAAAGAGTTGAAAACTGGGCTCAGACCATCTTTGTTCTTTCTATCATCTAGAGTTAAGCTACCAGGTTGCAATAGATGGTGCTGCTTCCCTTCAAATAAAACCTTATCCAGTCTACAGCACTAGTTTCCTGAACATGAGGGTTCTTGAACAGTAAGAGCTGTAGACCAGGGGATGAATCTGCCAGAGTGAGAATCAATGTCTACATTTGGGAGCTAAAAGGAACACTTTAAAGATGTTCTCATCTGATGCTGTGTAGCCACGGCTGCAGGATTTTTGATTTTTGCGATTGTTATAATAATTTAAACAGAAAAGTAAAATAAACATGCTGATTTTAATTTTTAATGCCTTTTGTCTTCTGAGCAAGGATGTTTGTCATTAGAATTGCACTAACCTTTTGGGCACAGAAAAGTTTCCTGAGAAGATAGATTGGAAACCAGGCTACAAAGGTGATAAAAACCCTATGTGAGAGAGTACAGAGAGGTTTGCTTGTTCCCATTTTATTTTCCACTTATCTGTTTTGAAGTATATTATTTACTGTCTAGATACTTGCTATCTAGGTTGTTACATAACAAAAATTTCCTTTTTGTATTCATTCAGAATATCTGAAAATCTTAGTAACTACCTTTCCTTTATCACAGGCTGAAAAGCAATATAGTCAGCTGATCATTTCTCTTCTCTCTAGACCTGTTTCTAATAAAGAAAGAAATGTAGATTAAATTTCGAAGCAGTGAAAATTAAAAAACCCTGACACCTGAAATGAGTAATCTAGATGAGAGTTTGATTTGAATTCAGTATGTTTCATCTCATTGGTTATAATTTGATGAGTGTCAATAATAGCAGCTTAAATTATATAATTAATTCCAATGTAGTAGTCCCAGAATCACAAAACTTTTATTTTAGATTGTTTGCAATAGTGGCAGGTATGGGTAAGGCTGTGAGGTGATAAAGTGAAGCCTTTGTCAGTAATCTCTTGATTACTGTGATTATCTCTTTATAGCAGCTTTTGCCTACTGCATTCTGTAGAACACGATTTTTTTTTCATTACAAATTCGATTTTAATTGCTTACAAAGTTTTCTTATCCACAGATTAATGACAAGGAAGACTAGGCGATGTGTGTACTTTTTGTTCTCATACAAACTTCTAGAGAGAAAGTGTTTTTCGTATTGTTGACTATATCACCCACCACATTTTTGATGCTTTAGTTGCTATATTGACACTTGCAATAATAAATGAAATAAAGCAATTGTTTTTCTATTTTTAATTAGTCAGTGAGCATAGCCTGTTTGTTGGAAACAGGAACACTGGATCTGATAGGTACATATTCACAGATGTTCTTTCTTGATCACTAACAGTGTAGAGAATCCTATTGTTCTCCTCATGAAATAGATCTAAGAGTAGTATGTTGGGTTATGAATCATATTTGAAAATGTACATCAGTTTTTAGGGAGTGTATTGAACAGTACACCATGCACAGTAACAAGAAAATGAGCAAACCCATGTGTCTACTTAAGCAAGATAAGAAATAAATTTTTATTCAAGAGCAGAAGTAAATAATGCAGTTGTGGGCTTCTGTGAAGATTTTTATGTCTCTACAGCTCAGTTCGTACATATCATCTTCCTACTCTGATTCACAAGTTCTAAGCTTTGGCTCAAAATTACATTTGAATTCTTATCCATATTTTTAAAGAATGCATGTGCATGAGTGTACCTGCTCTTGATATCTGTTTCTTAGATAAATGCCTCTCGCTTTGTTTTATTTTTCTCGCAGCTGATTTCAAACTTTTCTGTAGTCTATATGAGTAAGAATATCCAGAGCAGTTTAAAGTCTTTCCTCTGTTTTAATGGTAGAGAAAGGTGACTTTTTAGCTTAAGTATTAGAAATTCATGATTTGTAACTGAAATGTATTGAAATGTCTTGAAATTTTCCTAATAGTAAAACAGATACTAGGGCCTTTGGTCAGCCAGTATTCCTTCTTATACCTAGGAAAATATAGGTTTTGATTGGGTGGCAATTCTTCTAGCAAATACAAAATGCTGATTTCCAGAGTCTAAAAACATGTGTTACATAACAAGGCCTGAAACTATCAGTGAAAATACACATTGGCCTGGAGTGTGGTATTCAATTTACAAACTGTGCTTTGTTATGAGAGTCCTTTTCCTTCTTAAAGTACATCAATAGCTAAACCCAATGATTTATAATCACAATAAATATTCCTTTTTAAAATATTTCATATAGAACACTTCAAAGTACTAGTTAAATTCTATTAATATTTTCCTATGTTATTTTTCAGCATGTCAATGCAAAAGATGGAATGTGGATGTGAGGAGACCATGTGTTAAATAGTCAGAAGCAGGAAAAATTCTCTAGCTTTTTCATTTAGTAAAATCGTCTAGAACAAAATTCTTACTCTTTCAAAGCATGCACCTTCTCAAGATTCATGTCAGTAAAACAAATGTATTGGATTACATTTCAAGGAAAGGAAATAGGGGCTGTGGTAGCAGTAGACATCTCTCTCACTGTTTTATATCCTCACTTAAAGGAAGCAAAGCTAAAACTAACTTCCAACATAAACTAAACTAAACTGAGTTATAAGATGGGAAAGATATATGCATTATAGAGAAAATATAAGAATAAACAATTATCAACAGTTTTTTGAAAAAACAAGAGGAAATCTAGTGATTTAAAAAAAAATAAAAATTCAAAACTTTAGAAGACAAAACAGTCATTTTTATTAACAGACTTTTTACTCATGTAAGTCAGGCTGCCAAAACCAAACAAAAACATAAAGAAGATTTGAGATTTCTTAGAATTTCAATTTCTGCTACATATTATGATCTTTTTTGTATGTTGCATACCTATAATGTAGAAAACAAATAGAATGATCTTATGTTTTTGGGTGGCTTGGGAGATGATTGAAACCTTTGAAAAATCATAGTTGCTAAGAGAAAGCTGGCAGACCAATCTCAAAGAACAGAAAAAAACCCATATTTTTCTGTTGGTTTTGCTATTACTCTTTTTTTAACATGGGACAGAACTAAGATAAACTGGATTATTGATGCATCATGGCAACAACATACATAGAATAAATACTTGAATACATCTAAATACCTCATCTCTTTACCATGTTGGCAAGATAGTATCACATAAGAATAAAATCATCTTTCATGTACAAAAGCATAGCTACAAAATCTGAAGAGGATTTAGTGGCAATTTTACTCACCTAAATAAATTAAATCTACCTTACCTTGCCCCTTTATGAAAAAAAAGTTAAAATCACACTTTTGAAAAACTGCATCAATCAATGCTGGCTTTATATGCCTCTATTCATCATCATGAATGCCTACCCAGATCTATCATAATCAAAATCTTCTTGGTAATTGTGAATTATTAATAATATGATAAAACATATTAATTGGGCAGATTAATTTATTATTTCTACTTTACTGTCATTCATTTTATTTCTACTGTACAAATTTCAAGCCCATATCTGGAAGCAGAAAAAATATTTTATTACTTCAGTGACCAGTCACCCAACACAAAAAACTAGTTTCATCAATTCAAGGAACAAAAGTTTCACAAACAAACCAGACACTAAACTGCATTCGCTTGTCAAACATTACATATTACAAATGGGTTGAGAGTTACCACGAAGAAAGTGGGGGGTTTGTAGAGAATTTGGAGAATTTTGAGAAACTAAAAGGCCATATCATATGCTTTTTCTCTCAGGACATTATGAAGAACACTTATTTTTGTCTCTTTGAGGGGACTAGCAGTCCAGGTTTTGCCTCTTTTTAGGATATTCTGTGTCTCATATCACACATGAGATTAGACCCTGTCTGAAGTATTCCTTCTGGCCTTGAAAGGCAACCAGACAGAGTTATTAGTTAATATGATCACATTAACTAGAGAGAGGCCAAGAGCTGCTACCCGCAGTGTGTACAGCATGTCCAGGTAGAACACTGCATTGACTGACCATGACCCTGGTCATTACACCAGCAGAATTATAACTGTCTGTGCAACTGTACAAAACTAATTTTAACTAGATGATCACTAAGGTCCCTTCCAACCCAGGCCATTTTATGATTTTATGTACTAAGATTGCCAAAACAGTTGGAAGAAAAGTTGCATTTACAATCCATATAGACCCACAGTCTCCCTCCCTCCCCCTCTCATTCTCACTCACTCATACAGGCACAATACATGTGATTCTGGATAATCTGATTTCTGTCAAAACAGACTAAGTCACATTGCATGAGAGGTATCAGTAGAGCATAATGAAAAAGCTCAATCAGTTTAATTCTCTGTGGATGCCAATTCTTCATAGTTTTCAAGAGATTAATTCAGCTTGCCTCTGCCCCTTCCCCTGTTGTTCCTGACTGACATTGTCATCACAGTTCTTAATGAACATTGTGAAATTTCCAGGAAGTACTTCAACCATTTTCCATGAAAATTACTTTTTTTTCCTCACTGAAGGAAAATTTCATGTTACTGACTGGGCTGCCAAAATTATTATACAAAAAGGAACGTAGAAATCATCAAAAAGCTCTTATGGTGTGTAGATGTGGAGGATGGTGGGAGGGAAAGAAAGTAGGAAGTAAAAAGTCA